TCGGAGCATCCAGGGGGACACAGAGGGAGGACAAGGAAAAGACGGAGCCGCCGGTGGGAAAAGTTGGGAATTTTGGCTCCAGGATGATGGAGCAGCCGGTGAGTGCTGGAGTTTGTGAGAAATTCCCACCGGGAATTCCCACCGGGATTGGAGAGGATGAGGAGGGAGGAATGACGTCATTCCAAGGGGTTATTCCATAGGGAAAAGGGATTTTTTTGGGGGGGGGAAGTTCACCTCGAGAGCAATGAAGGGATCCGGGATTTTCCATGGAAAACCGGGAAATCCAACGGCTGGGAAAGAATTCCCGGGGGGATTTTTTTAATCGTTGGGTTTTCCTGGGAATGCAGAGTCCAAAAATGGGTTTGGAATCTTGAGTAGGTTTGGATAAAAAAGATGGGATTGATCAGAATTCCAAGAAATCCCGGGATTTATTTGGATTTAATGAAAAGTTCTGGAGCGGCCGCTTCCAGAGGTTCCCGCTGGAGACGAATTCCAAGAATTTCTGGAAGGGAAAGAGCTCGGAATGGGGAAAAAATTCCTGAGGATGAATCCTGGGGTTTTTTTTTTGGGAATGAGCTGAGGAAAGGAAGGAGAAAATCCCGAGGGGAAGGCGTTCAAAATTCGGGAAAGAATTTTGGGAAGGAGGAGATGTGGGGGCAAAGCCGCTGGATCCAGCAGATCCTGATAATCCTGAGGGATCGGGAAAAATCCTGGGAAAATCTGGAAAAAAATCTGGGAAAAATCCCAGAAAAATCCTGGGAATGGGAGGCAAGGACCAGGCTGGGGCTGCTTCCCAAGGGAAAATTCCAGCCCCGATCCTTTGGATCAGGAGCTGCCAGGGATGGGCTGGGCTGATTTTTCCAGGGAATTGTGGTGTTTTCTTGGAATTCTGGATATTTTTCCTCGTGGTTTCATGGATCAGGAGCTTTCAGGAATGGCCTGGGGTGGCTTTTCCCAGAATTTTGGGGCCGTGCTGGGAATTCCAGACAGTTTTCCACGTGGGGAATTTTTATCCCAGAAAAAACTGACAGAACAAATCCCACGGGAAGCCCTGGATGGGATGGGGGGGAGGGGATTCCCTGGAAATATTCCAAGATTTTGGAGACTTTGGGAATATTGGGATGGCCGGTGTTGTGGGAAAGTCGGAATTCCGGGATTTTTTTGGGATGGAATTTCCTCCCCGTGAGTCGAAATTTTGGGATCGGGTTTGATGGGATGACACAAAACCCAACGCCCTTCCCGACGGATCGGCCCCGGGAAAATCACGGGAAAATCCCAAATCCTTTGTTTTCCTGGCTCCAAGGATTGCTGGAGCTCCAGGTGCTTCCTGGATCCTCCCCTCCACCCTTATCCCATTTTTTTTTTCTTATTTTTTTTTGCTTCTCCCAGCATGGAATCAAACTCCGGGAATGGCAGGGCTGGAATTTTCCTCAGGAGATGATCTAAGCCCCGAAATTCCTGGGGGATTTTTAAATTTTTTTTTAAATTTTTTTTTCCCAGCTGGCTCCACAAATTGGTTCCAGTTTGGAATTTGGAGGGTGGAAAATTCCCGGGAATTCCTCCTCTCCTCCAGGATTGCTTTTCCTTGGAGATCTGAAAATTCCAACTCCTTCCCGGGATTGTGGCTGGGAATAATGGGAATAATGGGAATAATGGGAATAATGGGAATGGTGACATCCAGCCTGGCCCAAGGTGGGATTTGGGAGCTCCAGGTGGGATTTGGGAGCTCCAGGTGGGATTTGGGAGCTCCAGGTGGGATTTGGGAGCTCCAGGTGGGAATTCTCATGGATATTCCCAATCCTGTGGCTCCCATCCCTTCTCCCACCGACCCACGGAAATCCCAGATTTCCCACCCCGTGGGAATGGGAATGCAGCAGGAATGGTTTGGAAGGAGGAATCGGGAAGGAAATCAGGATCCTGGGAGAAATCCCAAAATTTCCTTATTATTATTCCCGTTATCCCCCCTCATTCCCGGTGGGTTTTTTCCCCCC